GGTCCACTTCCTGTGGGGCCGCTTCTGGAAGAAAGAGTTCATCATAAAGAGTCCCTCTTTCTCCATGAAGTCGGCCAGCTGCTGACCCCTTGGGTTCCGTTGCCCTATTCCAAATTTTCCTACTTTCAATCTCCCGGTGATAGAGCAAGTTGCCGGATTCGAGGATTACCGTGTCCTCCCTTCGGACTTCGGATAATCCTATAATATGCCAGCGCAACTTGTCTATCTCTTCTTCCAGCTCCACGATCTTCTCGTCAGTCCTCAGGGTGCGTGCGTTGTACGTTACCAGGTCGAGTCGTCTAAGGTGGCAACCGAACCTCCACCGGAGATTCTTAGCACCCCCTGCCCCGCCGTTACCATGGTCGCCACCGTAGCCAGGAATAGCGGGGCCGCCGGGGACTGGGGGCCGTCTGTTTGTTGCTTTAATCATTGGGGGTATTTGCCATAGTTGCCACGCTTGGCGAGCGGGTTGGCAACCGCAGTTTTTTTTATTGTAATTTTGTCTATTATCAGGAAGATGCTGCTTCCCATCTCCTGCCTGTTTCCCTTTGTCGCCTTTTACGATACCCACGGGAGGATATGGGGTAGTGGATATTCTTGACCAGCACTACACGGAATCCATAGATACCCCACACGTATGGGTTTGATGAAAATAATTTTTTGTGTTTCAGTTCTAAGTTTGGGGAATCCCCAAAATTTATTGTTTTTTATTTCTTGTGTGAAAATCTTAATGCGGTTCACAGAATACATCTACTTACCAAGTTTCAACAGCATAGTTCTTATAGTTTCGGAAAAAAGTGGCTGTGACCTACGGACGGACAGACAGACAGACAGACATGACGAATCCATAAGGATTCCATTTTTTGTCATTTGGCTACGGAACCCTAAAAACATGCTGTTCGAGAATCGAATCCGCTGCCAACAGCGTTACAGTCAAACTCTTGGCCACTGCGTTGCGTATTTGTTTCTGATGATTTTATAGTGATCGAGTCATCAAAGACATCATCTCTTACACATTTCTGCCACCAAGCAGCGGTGCATGGACTGCTGTGTCTGGTGTGAAGAGTATAGAGTCAGTATAATAACAGGCCGTGAAACTTTCCATTTTAGTTTTCAGAGATGACATACTTTTTTTATTATTAGCTAGCAGGTACCCAGCGCGATGCTTCCACAGAAAAAAAATATTGTCGTTATATAGTTTTAAATTTGGAAGAATTATGTTGTTTAAATACGAGTAAGAATGATAATACATTCATCGAAGTTGAATGATATACAACTTTGAAATAAATTTGTTGGTACGATAGGCGCGCCACCTATCGTAAGTTAATTGTACTATGCCTATAACCTTCGTGGTAGTCCATGTAATAAGTTGACAAAGTTTTAGCGCAATCTGATGAACGGGATAGCAGCACATAAAATACGAACAAAGAAACATAATTTTTTATATATAAGACTAGCTGGTTCCCAGCGCGATACTTCCACAGAAAAAAAAATAGTCGTTATATAGTTTTAAATTTGGAAGAATTATGTTGTTTAAATAAGAATGATAATACATTCCTTGAAGTTGAATGATATATAAATTTGAAATAAATTTGTATATACGATAGGCGCGCCACCTATCGTAAGTTAATTGTACTATGCCTATAACCTTCGTGGAAGTCCATCCAATAAGTTGACAAAGTTTTAGCGCAATCTGACGAACGGGATAGCAGCACATAAAATACAAACAAAGAAACATAATTTTTTATATATAAGACTAGCTGGTACCCAGCGCGATGCTTCCACAGAAAAAAAAACTGTCGTTATATAGTTTTAAATTTGGAAGAATTATGTTGTTTAAATAAGAATGATAATACATTCATTGAAGTTGAATGATATATAAATTTGAAATAAATTTGTATATACGATAGGCGCGCCACCTATCGTAAGTTAATTGTACTATGCCTATAACCTTCGTGGAAGTCCATGCAATAAGTTGACAAAGTTTTAGCGCAATCTGATGAACGGGATAGCAGCACATAAAATACAAACAAAGAAATATAATTTTTTATATATAACACTAGCTGGTACCCATGAAGCTAATACTTTGTATTTGCTTCATGCTGGTACCCAGCGCGATGCTTCCACAGAAAAAAAATTGTTATATAGTTTTAAATTTGGAAAAATTATGTTGTTTAAATAAGAATGATAATATTATGAATGAAATTAATTTAAAATGAATTATGTTGTTTAAATAAGAATGATAATATTATGAATGAAATTAATTTAAAATGAATTATGTTGTTTAAATAAGAATGATTATATTTGAATGATATATAACTTTGAGATAAATTTGTTGGTACGATACGTGCGCCACCTATCGTAAGTCAATTAGTTAAGTACTATGCCCATAACCTTCTCAAAAGTAGAATGAAATAAGTTGACAATGTTTTAGCGTAATCTGATGAAGGGTATGGCAGTGCATAGGAACAAAAAAATAAAAAAATAATTTTTATATATTAGATTACTTTTTTAAGTAATATCGTGGGTAGCGTTATCGTAATCTAATGTAATGGAATAGAAAGTAATAAAAAAAATTTGACAATTTTTTTTTAAATACTAGGAAATGCCGAAATATCATATTTGTTGTTTGAAGTTGGTTGCATGTCTATGTTGGGCTGTCACTTCAATAAAAAAAAGAAACTTCCACTGTCTATAGAGTAAATTGTTTCCGTTAAATTTTTAAACCATAAGGCCATTTCATTACGAGAAATTTAAAAATAATAAAAGACTTTAAGGCGATCCTTTTTGTTCTTAACTTTATTCGCAGCGAGATAACAGACAATGAAGACTCTAATGCCATGAATATTTATAAAGGAATGAATTTTAAATGTTGCTCGTCGTATCTGAGGGGTATAAAAGTTTTTTTTTTGCGTAAAATGTAAAAAACGTGAAAGCCTCTGTTATGGTAACATGGAGAGTTTTAGAGGTTTACGGCAAGAATTCTTACTAAGTTAATAATTGAGAACTAACTAACTAAGGCTGTACAGAACTTTTAATTTTTAATTATTTTACTGTAAATTCTCATTGCTATAAGGTCATAAACTAGAAAGTAAACAGGCGAGAGCGTTTGTTTATTTTTTTTTGTTGTATGAAGAAAAGACCCGCATCTCCACTTATCAGAATTTTTAATCATTTGATAAAATAGTGGCGCCCTTGGAAATGCCACTAGGCACATGCCGCCGCTTATTAAAGGTAGCGGTTTTATAACACAGGACGCCGCTACCGACCGACGGAAGAGATATTGTCACTTCATATCTATTACCGTTACAGCTTATTAGTCCATAGGTGCTGTACATAGGGTTGATATTTGCCATAATTGCAAATATCCACCCTATGTTCATGGTTAGCAACCATAGTTTTATTGTACGACCTCAAAAAAGAGGAGGTTCTCAATTCGAGTATGTTATTTTTTGTATATACGCGATATCTTCGCAGATTGTGAACCGATTTTAATGATTCTTTTTTTATTACATAGGTTTTACCTCAAGGGTGGTCTCATTAAATTTTGAAGAAAAACTTCCGCCCCCTAGGGTGAAAAATTGGGAAAAAGGGTTTTTTATTGGACTATTGTTTAAGGAATTTCATATGAAGTCTTCGCAGATTGAGAACTTTTATTGATTATTTTTTAGAACGTAGTTTTTTATCGCACGGAACGAATTTGGCGGATGGAGGCTTGGCGAGAGAAATTGTAAGATATTTCCGTCACGACCTCTTCTGACGTAATGTATGCCATGGTGGCTATAAGGAAGCGAGATGGAATAATATCCATCTCCCTCGCACTTTTTCTTCTCTTGCCATGAAAGAAATATTATTTTATTTTAAATGACACTTCATTTTAATAGACGCTAGTAATTAATTTATATGTATTTGTTAATCAATAATATAATACGTTAATCAATCAAAATGCAGATGCGTTGTCACCCGTGAGGACTAAGATGGAATGCCTCTTTTCCAGTACAAAGGGTCAATAACAAACTGCGGTTGCCAACCCGCTTGCCAAGCGTGGCAACTATGCCAAATATCCTCCCTATAATTCAATCTATGGGGGAGGTCAATGTTCAGCAGGGGACTTTAATAGGTAACGGTAACGACCTCAATTACTATTACATTTGAATATTGGGCATAAAAAGAGCCCTGCTCTGATAGTTCCAGTGAAATGCTTGTGGGTGTCTTGAGGTGAAAGAGGACAATGTAACACGATATAGGCAACATCATCTTACTGATATCAACTCGAAATAATAAAAAATCGCTAACCCGCCTACTAATGTTGCAACTATACCTAATATACATTTTCATTTTTTTTATCCAATACTTCATAGGTGTTTACATATAAATTTGGGGAAAATTTTACCCCAAAATGTGGGAGAAATATGGGATTAAACTGTCAGTGTAACTATTTAGACTACACTGTAGATGTTACCTTAAGTAAAATAAAGTTGCTGCCTATATACGTTCCACTACTGGACTCAGGCCTCCTCTCAGTTCTGAGAGGTCAGGGTTTTATGGTAAGGAAATGTCTGCCACGCTGCCCCAGCGTGTTGGCGAACTTCACATTTCTTCGAAATAATTTTTTTCTATTTATTTCCCAGACATGCAGGTTTCCTCACGATGTTTTCCTTCACAGCCGAGCACGTGGTAAATCAGTACTTGAAATTGCCATTAAAAATTTCATTGGTGCCGGCGGATATAAAACGCGAGTTGCTCGCGTACTATGAAATTTACAGCGACTACAGCCCCTGAGTTACCACGGTTCTACAGCTAATGTAGGCTGTAGTGAATGAAAATAAACCGTTTACATTGAGGAACACGAAACAGGGTCAACAAACAAATTACTTAACTAAATGGAATTCCAAGTAACTTTATCCGTTCAAAATACACCAAACATTGAAAATATTTGATTGACTTTGGTAACTGTTTATATGAAATATACGAAACCCAATAGTAATGTAAAATTAAAGTCAGTGTAGCACGAGCTTCCCTTTCTTATCAACGATTCCGACACGTTGCAGCCACGCTATGAAACCTCTGTTCTGTCGCATATCCGCCATCTGGCCTCCGACGCACCACGATAACGGTCGCACATGCCACACTGAAATCATTTTTCAGCACGTTAATTAGAAGAAAACGTTTCTATTTTTATTTAACCGACGTAAAATCACTAAAAGGTTGAATAATTAAATAATATATTTACCAGAATACGCTTATATATACTTATAGATTACCCCCGTGGTAGCACGCACACACGTCATAGACAAATGCGGAATTTATATCGATTCCCCATTTGTCTATGACCAATTGTTTGAGAATTGTCAATGTTGATTTTAGCATTATTAAGGATTTTGGCGGGAACTTGATCGGCGGCGGCTTGCTGCTCCTGTATTATTGTTTAAATAATGGTTTGAAGTGGACTTTGATATATAAAAGTGGTGCGATTTTGTGTATTAAGTGTCTGCGCATGCATTAGTGGAAACTGTGAAACAAGTGCTGTGATGGTGATGGATTCTCAAGATAAGCTGTTTGTTTGCATAGGCGCCTTTAGATACCATCGCCAACTGTCAGCTGCCTGCTGGCTCAAGTTGCCGTCAAAATCTCCCAAGGGCTGCACAATGTGACGCATCAACATATTGTGAAGCAAGTAACTATGAAGGATAATTACACATGAAGACAAGGCTGTATGGCATAGTTCCTTTGCCTGCTCTCTCGAGCGAATAATAAAAACAACAACAATGATTTTAGCATTAGTTCATAAGATCATAAGGCATTCGTGTTGTGACCTCCGAAAGGGTAACTTGTGAAGAATAAGTCTGTGTCAGTCTTTTATATCCGTGTTTATTTTATTAATCAAAAAGTGAATTCTACAATAGTTATATGAAAGCGATTCATAACTACCATACTAGACTAATCTAGTGAAATAATTTTAATTGTAGTATGTAATTTGTTAGTCAAAACTACTTATACTTTTTGAATTTTTGAAATTAAAAAGTTAAATTCTTTCAATATTACATTTTATATCGTTATAATTTACGCGGCTTTATGGTGGCCCAAGGGTCACTCCAGGCGCACCTTAACCTACTGCCAAAAAAGTAACATCAACAACTACACCACAAGAACGTCAATGTCGCGAAATTTGTTCATTCTGTATATTCAGTTTACAATTATAATTATTTCACTAGATTAGTCTAGTAAGATAGTTATGAACCAATATATAGCTATATCACTAGGGATATAACTATATCACGGGTTTAACTATTTTACTGCGACATAAATACAGTATTCATTCACGTTAAATTGTATTACTGAAGCACGAACGGGTCGGCTCGACGGAGGACTGCTCGCACGGAATACACCTGATGGTAATGATTTCTTATATTTACGCAAAGACTACACTTTCAATGAAACAAATTTTTACGAATTTTATAGCGTTTAATTTAACTTTTTAATTCCAGACGTTTCGAGTGCTATACAGCATCCATGGTCACGAGGGAGAGGGGGGGCGGGGAAGGGACAGAGGTGTTTGACGGCCCGATGTCATAGTTAGTCCGTTAACCTTTAGTTTATGAATCTGCGTAGATCGGACTAAAAATTAATATTGATAATAATAACGCGATAAAATCCGTAAAAATTAGTACACACAGCCAACTTCAAACGAAGAAGACCACAGATGCGTTGTCACCACTGAGGACTAAGATGGAATGCCTCTAAACCTGTGATTGTACTGACGTTTATACTCTTTAGACCAGAATACAACAGTCCAAGCACTGTTATTTGGCGGCAGAAATACTTAATAGGATGGTAGACAGGTTTTACTTTTATATAATTACTTACAATACTTACATACTTTTAAGTCAATATTGTTACTAATAACATTACTAATAATATATGGACCATAGTCTGAAATAAAATTATTATTAGAGGTTTTAAACGTGGTAGAGCCTTAGCAGCTTAATACTGCTGTGTTTCGTATAGTGAGTGTAGGAGGCATTCTATCTCATTCCTCAGGGTTGATAACTGTAGATTTCTATGGGCCACAGCATCCACTTACCATCAGGCTGTGTGATCGTTTGTCACCGTTATTTTATAAAAAGAGACAGGTGAAAGGGAGGCAGAATGACGTCCAACCACCAATACTAGCGTAAATTGCAGCTGTCTTTCGTATTGCGAGTGCAGTGTACTGGAGAGCATTTTTCCTAGTAACGAGATATTCCACCTAAGTAAACTGCATTTTAATTCTTAATTTTTGATACATAAAGGTGACAAATTTTAAGTACTGAATAACCTCATGCTCAGTGGTTTACAAAAACAGCGTAGTATATTTCGAGAACATACGAAATCCGCCAATACGCATTTCATCAGCGCGATAGATTTATCGCTCCACAATATCTCAGTATTGGGACGAGGCCCATTCTCAGACACGAGGTGAGTAAGTTTTACTTTTTATGTGAGATGCCCGTGTCCAGTGGGAAGTTACGGCCTATTAAAAAATGTGGGTGTTTTATTATGCACTATTTTTTAACAATTACTAACTGGTACCTGACGCGTTGAAGCGACAGAAGAAATTATTGTGGAAATATCATTTTAAATTTGGAAGACTTATATTGTTTAATTTTGAAAGATAATACATTCATTGAATTTGAATGATATATAATATAACTTTCAAATAAATTTGTCGGTACAACGACAAGCGAGTACACAGTCCACTCGATGACAAGTGTTTGCTGTGGCCCATAGACATTTATCCTCGTTTGCGAATCAAAATGCTGATGCGTTGTCAGCCGTGAGGACTAAGATAGAATGCCTCTTTTCCAGTAAAATGGGTCTCCGGTTCTCTACACTCACCATACGAAACACAGCAGTGTTTAGCTACTATTTTACGCTGGTATTCTGTGAGAGCGTGGTCCTTCCCCGGTCAAGCCGACCCATACGTGCTACTACTATACAAATAATATAGCACTACTATATTCCAACGGATTTAAAAATACACATACATATACATACTACACCTACACATACACACACGTACAAAGCAACGCACTTCTATTCATTGGTCTGTTGGACCGGTATTGTTTGTGAAAGAACAATTCATTTTTGAGAGCGTCACGTACGAGCCAAAATAAACACGGCCATAGGAAAAGAAACAACCCTATCTCGCTGTTAGCGTTCTTTTGCTTCGGGCACTTATCGACCGCACGAAACAAAGAGAGCACAGAGGCACAAAATAAAGAGAGAGCGCTCGTTTGTCAACGTATTCCATTTTTAATAGGCTCTACAACGAATCGCAGACATTTCGTTGTAGTAGGGTTGACGTAGATGATCGTACACGATCGTCGAACTTTATGACGTCATTTAGTATGCTCAAAAGCTCGTTGCCTTTGCCTAGCAAAACAATATGAGAGTTTCAAAAAACGTAAACAACAACATTGATCATGAGCTATGATGATCCTGATATTTTTATGTTATCCTGGTGTTCCTAATCAAAATCCTTGGTTCGCAAAACAAGTACAAAGAGATGGACTTAATGCAACAGGTCATTCTCTATCAGTCTACCTCCACGCTTAGCAGCGAAGATATTGTAAGCGCAAGGTGCAAAAAACTACGTCAGAAATATCTATGTCTACATAACATATGCATAACAATAACCATAGAAAATACTAAGGTATCTACTATTTTACATAGTGGAGCCATGCTGCAGCTATATAGTAGTATAGTTGTAGCACGAATGGGTCGGCTCTACTGGGGAAGGACCACGCTCCCGCAGAATACCAGCAAAATTAGCAGCTTAATGATGTTGTGCTTCGTATGGTGAGTGTAGAAAACCGGAGACTGTTTTTACTGGAAACGTGGCATTCCATCTTAGTTCTCACGGGTGAAAACGCATCTGCATTTTGATTCGTAGTCGAGAATAGATGCAGATGTCTATGGGCCACAGCAACCTCTTACCATCAGGTGGACTGTGTGCTCGTTTATCACCCTTATTCTATAGAAAAATATAGAAGTAGTGCGTACAGCATATATTATTTTTCTTATTTTTCCTTATTTACAATAATGTTCTTTTATTTTTGGCACCTACGACATTATTTCCACACGTCCCGGGTTGCCTAGCCTAAATACAAATATATATATATATATATATATATCATAACCTTACAACAAAGGTAACCAGATGATAAATAACTTTGACCATACTAACGTCTGATGACATCAAAAAGTATTCACGTACCAATCTTTTAAAACCAGTCAGCAGTTATTAGGTGTTTTTATAACGTCTTCTAGAAAGGAGTACCAGAAAAGTGCAACCTGAGTGGTGAAGGATTTCAACGAAATTTGTGAAACGTAGTGGAGATATATATTATAAACATAATTACACAAAGTTATTATATTGTTGGAAATGAGGGTAAAAAAATAAAAACAAATACGAACAAATGGAGGTAGAATGGTAATCTCCCACTTGTATTAGCAGTAATATCACACAGGTGGCTAAGATTCATCAGTCTGTCATTCCAAGAGTCCCACTGTCGTTACTATGCCCGTTGGAGTATTCTACTAGTGTAGGCAAGGAAGGTCGTGTTGCTGAGAGGCGGCCATGTGTTACATTGAGATGGGTGGTGATGCTGTTGGTTTGCATACTTTGGTGTTATCATGTAATTGGGGTCCTGATAGTAAGCAGGGTTTGTTACCGAGTAGTTTTCTTTTATTTAAATAATTTTGAGATTAATTTCTAACATCAGAAGTGGAATAGTTTGTTACATCAGAAGTGGGATTAAAGCATTTTCCTGTAGCTCTACATTCTAGTTTCTAAAAATATAAATATTATACATATATTTACTTGTATATATAAATACACATATACATTCATAATTAAATATAGCAGTTTCTAAATCAAACAGCTATAAAATTTATAAAATAAAATCAGGAAATGGAAAATCTAATCACATGAAACAAGTAATAACTAGTTCCAGAATCTACCGGATGTCCTGTAAGAAACGGGATAGTAGCTTAATTAACGTACCAACTCTGTAGAAACAGGAATTGAAATCCAGTTTGCAATGGTTGAGGAACACACGTTTCTGTCCGGTCGCGGAGATGCCGCACTGCGGCTCGTAGTCGTCCGTGCAGCTTGCCGGACACGCGTGGGAGCAGAACTGGCCATCAGAGCCCATACTCATTGACCTTGAAATTAAAGTGTGACAAGCTTAAGGTACTCTTATAGTAAAGTGTGTAGGTTAGATGGTTACCAATGCGGGTAGAATTTTAAAAACAAGTCCAATGGTGAAAAATGGTAATAACAAAACCTGACTGCGTATATAAGCTTACTTTTTTATAGAATAAGGGTGAAAAATGAACACACAGTCCACCTGATGGTAAGTGGATGCCGTGGCCTGTAGACAGATGCGTTGTCGCCCCTGAGAATTAAGATGGAATGCCCCATTTTCTACCGACTTCAAAAAGGAGACGGTACTCAATTCGACTGTATGTATTGTTACGAGCTTGGGGTTCGAGACAACTAAAACTGCCGAGTGAATTACCAAAATTGACACTTTAATTACAGAACACTAATTACAATTTAAAACCACACTAATAGTAAAACACAAGTGTACTACTGATCACTTTAGTTCGCGATTATTTCGCTTCGAAGTATTTGCTTATATCGCCAATTCAATACTGATACGGTCGTGGTCTACACCGGCCTTATCCAGCCAGATAGTTTCCAGAACCTTCTACTGTAGCGACATCTAGAATGTTCGAGAACATATCGGCCCCGAAATTTCTAGAAGGATCTTGAGTCTCCTAGTTCTGCTACTCGATACTAGAGGGCGCTAGTGGTAATTAGTGTTGCCATGTACAAGACATTAATAGTGGCGCGCAACAGTATTTTTTATGTTTGTTACCTCATAACTTTGTACTGGGTGAACCAATTTCGATAACTCTTTTTTATTTGAAAGGTGATGCTTCACATGTGGACCCATATAAATTTGATCAAGGTCTAATCAATAGTTTTTGAGTTATTCTTAATAATTTATTTTGAAGTCGCTTGTACAACATTTTTAATTTTAAATTATTATCAGTAAAAATTGTTTGTTCTCTACACTCACCATTCGAAACAGCAGATTTAAGCTGCTATTTGACGCTGGTATACTGTGAGAGCATCGTTCCCCAGTTGAGCCGACTCATTCGTGCTACAATCATAATATAGCTGTAGCATGGTTCTACCACGTACATATATCTACTTTCAAAACTAAGAATGATCTTACTACACCGTCAAACCTCAAAGATTTCAGAGCGTGACAAAGAAATAGCGTATTATATACATACATACATACACTCGACAAGCACTACCCTTCTTATGGGGCAGTCGGGTACATTAAAAGATCCGTACGTCTAACATTAAAAGATGTCTCGACAGGCACTGGGTCGCGAAGGCTTGAACTTTTCGATTCTTATTTGCTTTTTTTTATAGGATAATAATAAAAACATATTTGTGATATATAATATGTAATATGTTCTCAACATGGTCTAAAAATTATATTATGCCTTTTCGTTTAATATCAGTTTTATGCGGTTTCATTTTAGAATATCTGCAAGTTATGCGATCAATAGAGCAGAGAAGAGCGGCGGTAGCTGAGATGGTTAGCGCTCGCTGTAAGTTTCACAGTACGCGAGCAACCCGGGTTCGATCCCCGTCGGCACCAATGAAATTATTAATTGCAATTTTAAAAACATCGCTAACAAGGGAAACTGCACGTCCGAGAAATAAGAAAAAAAATATTTCGAAGACATGTGTAGTTCGCCAACACGCATTGGTGCAGCGCGGCGGATATTACCTTGCCCTAAAACCCTCTCAGAAACGAGCGGAGGCCTGTGCCCAGCAGTGGGACGTGTGTAAACTGTAACTTTACTTTATACGTTCAAAATATTATAGCCATCTTATATCGGCAGACATTATTATATCCAGACCGACAACAGACTAGTTCGTAAAAAACCTGTTATTCTATCTGCTATCGGGTACTGTGAACAATCTTCAATCGGCCTACCAAGCGTAAGAATGAACACTTTACAACGGGAGAGCAATATATAGGGAGCCAGTATATTTGAAGGCTGTGACCATCGATCACTAATAAGAAACTAAATAATCCCATGCAAAAGTTCTCTAAAAACGGTCGTCGATTGTTTTGACGTAATTCGAGTTGAAATAAATATACATTAATATAAATTCAACCTTTTTAAGTGTTTTTAAGTGTCTAAACAATTTTATGTGGTAGAGCCATGCTGCAGCTATATTAATAGTATATTTGTAACACGAATGGGTCAGCTCGACCGGGGTAGGACCACGCTCTCACAGAATACCAGCGTAAAATAGCAGCTTAACACTGCTGTGTTTCGTATGGTGAGTATAGAGACCCGGAAACTCTTTTTACTGGAAAAGAGGCATTCCATCTTAGTCCTCACGGGTGACAACGCATCTGAATTTTGATTCGCAAACGAGGATAAATGTAGATGTTTATGGGCCACAGCAACCACTAACCATCAGGTGAACTGTGTGCTCGTTTGTCACCCTATCCTATAAAAAATACCTTAAATACATTGCCTAAATTTTTATTCACAAAGCTACGTACAAATTAAAAGTGCACCCATGTGTTCGAGTGGGCGCTCATTCGGGAAGGACATTGTTTGATTGTGTATCTAGATTTTATATTAGCGATCGATGGCTGTGAAGCATTCTTCCTCAATGTTGTAAGCATTTGTAGATATCTTTATTTGAAGTAGATTGATTGCAGTAGCCACTTTATACGTGGTAGAGCTATATCGTGGTTTTTTATGAATGGGTCCACTCCATCGGGAAAAGACCACGCTCTCGCATAATACCAGCTTAAAAAAGCTTATTGCTGTACTTATTTTTTTTAAAATAAGGTGCACTGTAATTTCGTTTGTCACTTGAATTTTATTTTTAAAAAAAAAGCGACAGTAATCACCTTTTTACTCCGATGGAGCTTGCCGTACTTCATACATTCTCAATACATTTAAGTTTAACCTCTTTCGCCGAGCATATTGTAAAGGTGCTTCAAATTGCAATTAACAATTTCTTAGTTATTGACAGGGGTGTTCACAGCCGGGTTTGGTCGCGTGCTTTGAAATTTAGAATCTAGGGCGAATTACCGACCCCTCAAAACAACCCAATGTTTCTGAATATTTAATTTAAGACAAATTGAAGCAAAGATACAAGAGCACATTACTACAAGAGCTTTTTAACTGAAATAGATATGATTTCTAAGTTTTATGTTGTGAATAAGCAGTTGGCCTCGGCACTAAGGGCGGCGTAATTTTGATCTTTAAATATCGAATTTGCTAATAACTTTACTGCAGCGGCAATTATCCAATCCTAGCCTAGCTATAAACCACTGTCTCTTCTAAACAAATATATTGTGTGAATATGATTTCAATAAATCAAACCGTTCAGAAGTTACACGATCAATAACAGGCGCACCAATGATTATACAGGGTTATTTTTTAAAGCGTAGCCAAATTTTATATTTAAGTTCAAATATATAAATAATTAACCTTATTTACTCGTAGTAAATAAGACTTCAACTTTTATTTGAAACTATCCCTAATAGAATGTGAAATCACATGGGCAACAACTACGCGTACGCGCGCTCCTCTGTGTGCGATTCAATTTACAGTGTTTTTACCGACCGATCGACACTTACGTATGTGTGCGTGCGTAGTAAAATAGTAGGCGTTAGATATTTATGAACGACGATCAGTTTAAATAATGCATCACCACGCATTCCGAATTTAAAAGATAAAAAGGACTGCATGTTTGAGATTTTTTTTAATTATTTTTTTTCACGATTCGTCTATAATACTTATACTGAACCTACTCTTGAAATTTGGCCGTGTATTGCAAAATAACTCTTTGTAATAAACCGGGTGACTTAATACCGAAAGAAAACGTATAGGATGTAGTAGGTGAACAAAGTAGAAGCCTGTGGCATATTAATTTGTTAAATTTATTGTATTTTCATCGACATTTATTTTAATCAAATTGATGATTGAACCATTACTAATAATTTTAAAGTACAATAATTTTCACACATAGCGAACGGTAATCAAGTTCGTATGCTTTACAAACTTATTAATACTGGCCGCGCGTAAAGAAGGGTGCACGTGATATCAATTTCTTAATCAATTTTTAATTTGTTTTCCAAATACAAAAATTTTGTTTAACAAAGATTAAAAATACTACATAGATAAATAATATTTTTAATTTTTGTTGTATAATAAATGAACTAAAAAGAATCCTAGTCTTCTATTTCGTTCATTTTAATAAAGACAGTCTATATTTTTCTTTCTTTAATAATATCATCCAGCCATATAATAAAGATAAAGATTCAAATTATAAATTTAGTGCCAAAAGGGCTGGTTATTTTCTGCCTCAAAAGCTAAGTACCTATTACCATTCAGCGAGGAAACTTGGCTAGTGGTCTTGGCGTTACACCACGAGGAGTGCGACTGTATGATAAATTTATTATTTTATAAATTGAACTAAATAACAAATATTTTTCTGTCTGCTTTATTATGGCTTTTATTTTTTTTTATAAGATAAGGGTGACAAACGAGCAAACAGTCCACCTGATTTTAAGTGGTTGCTGTAGCCCATAGACATCTACACCTATCCTCGGTTACGAATCAAAATGGAGATGCGTTGTCACCCGTGAGGACTAAGATAGGACGCCTCGTTTCCAGTAAAAGGGTATCTGGTTCTTTACAGTCACCATACGAAACACAGCAGCGTTAAGCTGCTATTTTACGCTGGTATTCTGTGAGAGCGTGGTCCTTCCCCGGTCGAGCCGACCCATTCATGCTACAACTATACCAGTAATACAGCTGCAGCATGGTTCTACCACGTTAATCTTTAGAAATATGCCAGCACCGTCATTCCCTTTTATGTTATATAAATAAATGTATGCAGGATTATTTTATATATAATTTACCTCCGAGAAGAGAAACTCCTCCGTTCATTTCGCACGATAGCAGGCTTAGGAGTTGGTAGAGGATGAGGTATGTACACGAAAGGTCTTTCGGAGTATTGTGCTCCGACATTATTGCATTTTTCCGCAGGTACTTGTTTATATCCTGTAAAACAAAAGTAATTAATATATTTTTATACCATTAAGGTTAAAAAATCAGCACACAGTCTAGCTGATGGTAAGTGGATGGTAGGTGGTAAGCGGGTAGCTTATAGATATAAATATTAATCGAAAATGTATGTTCGACTACGAAATAAAATGCAGAAATGCATTTTGATTTCTATTCGAGGAGACGGCTTTACGTGCTCTCTAATGCACGGGGATAAACCGGTTCTTTACTCAGGGCTACTGAGAATTACTATTGACAGAAAAATGTAACAAATGATTTTGGTCCGACCAGATATTCTAACCGGAGACCACATCATGTTCAGCAGTCGCACATACACATTCGACTGCAGCTATAAATATAGTTGCCATAAGCAAAACGCAACGAAGCCTAAATCACGCTATCAAAGTTTCGAAGTACTGCGCTATATATATAACAGCTCCTATATAACCTAATCAGACGGTTACACTAAAGAGGGTCGCTTCCGATTCGGCAGAAAGGCCACACAAACCAATGCCAGTCTCACAGGTGTTGTTTAGTAGGTAGGCACTTAGGTTTCGCAGTGAGTCCCACATAACCGCAGCCGGCTGTCGCGGTATGTTATACCTCCCTTCCTCGCTTCCCGGAGGGTAAAGCAATGGAAAGGGCCATTGCTTCTAGGCGCAAAAAAAAGATCTCTCCTTTTCCTTGCACAGCCAAAAGCTTAGTATGAATATAGGACACTAGGAAATATTGATACGACAACGATACAGTATACATACATAATTGCAGAAAAGCGGGACCTTACAAATACTGCTTTTTTTGGCCCATGATTTTTCTAAAACTCTACTTAGGGAATGCAAGAAAAGTAAAGAAAGAAAAGTAAGAATCCATCTTAGTCCTCATAGGTGTGATGCATCTTTTTTTTTAACACGTTACCCCCACACTAGAATTTTCTCCTGTGTCGTGAAGGCAGTTTACAAACACAAATTGCATAAGGACAAACATCCAGACCCGGAGCAATTATTTGTAGGCCATATAAATACCTGTTCCGTGCGGGATTCAAACCCGCGGCCTCCAGCGCAACAACTCATTGCTAAGCCACTGCGCCACGGAGCCGTCAGCATCTGTAACCTTCTTAGTTAGAAATTGGTTGCAGGTGCCCATGTAGTACAGTAACCACTTCCCATCCGGCGGACTATGAGTTCGTTTGTCACTTCGGTTGAATGAAAAAAAAAAACAAATAAGAAAGTTTCCTAAAATAATCGAAGTGTTTTCGTGGACCTCCTCGAGGGCATCTTATTTCTTCCCATACTATTTTTATTAAAGTTAAAGTTACAGCCTATATACGTCCCACTGCTGGGCACAGGCCTCCCCTCATTTCTAAGAGGGCTTTAGGACAAGAAAGTGTCCGCCGCGCTGCCCCAATGCATGTTGGCGAACTTCACATGTCTTCGAAATATATTTTTCTTATTTCTCATACTTACTTTCCTCGCGATGTTTTCCTTTACCGCCGAGCACGTGGTAGATTAGCACTTAAAATCGCAATTAACAATTTCATTGGTGCCGACGGGGGTTGAACCCGGGTGGCTCACCTACTGTGAAATTTACAGCGAGCGCTAACAATCTGAGCTACCACGGCTCTTTGTTTATTAATAATAAAGCTTTTATTGATAAAACATTTTTAATTTACAACTACTACCAAAATACAAAGAAAAAAAACAATCGATTTCTTCGTGGTTCTGTAGACATCAGTAGTCCGAGTAATTAACCCATTTAGAAATACTTAACAACCGAAATAAGGTAATTTATCTAAAAAGTGACTAGTGGTGATACCACCATGAATTACTGGCAACTGATATTTTATAATGTTGTAATGTCGTAAGTGAGACTGCTCATCATGTCAGACCAAAAAAGTTATTCTTTATTGTATTCCTAAAAACAAAAGAAAACAAAAGGCGGATTTAGGACTGAGGCATTCTCTCCCAGTCCACCCATGTAGAATTTGACGTAGGTGCGGTAATATAGAATAAAATACATTAGGTATTTATACTTATGTACGTGGTAGAGCCATGCTGAAGCTATATTAATAGTATAGTTGTAGCACGAATGGGTCGGCTCGACCGGAGGCATTCCATCTTAGTCCTCACGGGTGACAACGCATCTGCATTTTGATTCTTTATTGAGGATATATGTAGATGTCTACGGGTCACAGCAACCACTTACCACCAGGTGGACTCTGTGCTCGTTTATCACCCTGTCCTATAAAAAAAAGCTTATAATAGGTTTTTGGACAGATATAGAACTATAGGTACTCACTGTTTTCACGATATCTGAAAGCGCAATTTACTTTCCTAAAGAAGCACTCATTTAAGAATAGCCTATATTTCCATTTGTTCTGTTCTAATTTTCCTCCACAAACGGGATCTTGTGTAATATTACAGTCAAGGTTCGAGCAGTTGATCGTTTTGAATGTCTCCCTCGTTTCTGGTACAATTTCAGGTTGTTCTTTCCTATGCTTCCTATCTGATTTATTTGTGTTATCTTTTGCATCATATTCTTGGTTTTTGCCTGATATGAATACAACATCCTTAGATGGAGCCTCTGAAATTAAAAAAAAAACTGAAACTCTTATATACAATATAAAATAACATCATCCCAATACTACCATTGTAATACCAGTAGTAAATTCCAATTAAAATTTATATTTTTAGTAATATTTAAAAACAACTAAAACTAAAAATTTAAATTGTCATACAGTCCTACTTCCGTGATATAGTGCTAAGGACTTTGACTAAATTTCCTCACTTTTTAATTTGTTTATACTTAGAAAGAGTGTACATTATTTACTTTTTTTAATTTTGCCAAACTGTAAGTCAGCTTATCGGCAACGAAGCCGTTTATCGTTTCACAATACTTAATGATAATGTCTGGTACTTAAATATAGTTTTTTTTTTAAATACTATTAATGCTATTAAACTTTACTATTATTCCCTTTAATCACTTCTGGTAAGCTTAAAATATTTGCGTTAGAAGTGGTTCATGACAGTAGTCGAATGGCGGATTCGAACCCACGACCTTTCGAGTTCGCGGTCCGCGCCCTGCCATTAGGCTACTGACGTTAAATTAACACATAAATAGTTGAAGAAACATTCACCTCTATGGAATAATATTATTTTAATTACTTAAATTTAATTAAATTAAAATTACTTAATATTAATATTAACTAATATTAGCCTTCGAGTGAAAAAAGAACCAGCCCAAAGAGGGCTGTTGACTGCCTGGAACTGTATCCGCGACACATCGTCGACAAGAGTCCTTTATAAACATACAATTCCGTTATGAACTTCAAACTAATTCAACTTCAATTTACATTACATTAGTAGCCGTAGGGTAGAGGCTTAAGGGAATCTATAACCGTAGAAAGAATAGAATTTTTAATTTAATGCAGATATGTTTAATTTAACAATAGTTCTAAAAATAACTCTGTCCTGGGAAAAATCAGCTAGTAACTTATGGTGACATTTTTTTAAAGAACAGTTTACAAACATGTTTTTTTTATAGAACGAGCATGCGGCTCACCTAATGATAAGTGACTACCGCCGCCCATGAACAACCGCAACACCAGGGGAATTGCAGATTTGTTTCCGACCTTTTAGAATGGTGTAAGCTCATTTCTTGAAGGTCCCTAAGTTGTATCGGTCCGGGAAAATCGTCGGTGGTAAACAATTACACAGAGAAGTTGTACGAGGAAGAAAACTCCTAGTAAAACGTACTAGTCGTGGACCGCCAAGCATCCAGACGGTGAGGATGGTATCGTGTTACACAATGAGTTACACAAATCATACTAACAATAGCCAGTTAGTGTTAACCACCTCATTCTCGGGGGTTAATATCATCCATAAATTTTTCCATTGTTCTTGTTATCAATACATTTTGTGATCCACTAAAATCTAGCAGCAAAGTAATGCTGCTGTATCTGAGTGTAGAGAACCGAAGACTAAATGACCGATCTGGATGCAATACCTACTCTATTTTAGTCCTCAGGGCTACCCCGCACACATAGACAACGCATCTACACTTGGATTTTAAATCGATGATAGATGTAGATATCTATGGGCTAGATCATCTACTTACCATCAGGTGGACAATGTTCTCGTTTATCATCCTTATTAAAAGAATCCAAATTGTAACAAAATGTCTTAGCAGTAAATTTTTTTTTTATAGGATAAGAGTGACAAACGAGCACACAGTCCACCTGATGGTAAGTGGTTGCTGCGGCCCATAGACATCTACATCTAGCCTCTATTACAAATCAAAATGTAGATGCGTTGTCACCCGTGAGGACTAAGATGGAATGCCTCATTTCCAGTAAAAAGGGCCTCCGGCCACCTGCACTCACCAAGCGAAACGCAGAGGCAAATCTGTACTTCACGCTGGTTTTCTGTTAGGTCGTGATACCACCCCGGTTCGAGCTGGCCCATCCGTGCGACAGCAAAAGCTGCCGCATGGCTCTACCACTGTTAAGCAAGTATTGCAAAAAAAGCGATTATCAAGAACTGATTTTGGTTATGATAAACCTACCGGTCTCCACACTAACTTTCTTGTCACTGAGAACATCACTAACACGACTCGTTAACAAATCTTTCATTTTGACTTCTTCTCTATCATATAAGTAATCTTCATTTCGCTGCACCGGTTTTTCATTAGGTATGAATACAACATCCTCTTTAGCTTCCAAATATGCTTCTGTTGTGTCCGTGACAACAGGTTTGGTGAGTTTCGGTTCAACTTTGAACATTTCATTACCAACACCTGTTTCTGGCGTATCGTGCTTTGCAAGAGACACGGGTTTAGCGTTCTCCACTTCACTGTGTCCTTCATACGTGACTATTAAATCGGAACTATTTATTGGTGTGTGAGATAGGACGCCTATTGTAGACAAAGAAATCAAAAGTAACTTAAAATACATATCTACTTATAATCAATTATGTTTTAATAATTTGCTCTGATATGTATTGTTACATTTAGGCACCATTAAAAATAATGCAATTTGAGGAATTTCTTTTGACGAATAGCACGCTTTATTTTTGAACTGAGTGTGGAATAGAACAATGAGTTTATTGCCCAACACATTTATGAAACAATTCATTGATTTATAACAATGGTGTTTACTTAACCGGCGGTTTTATACGTGGCAAGAGCCACGCTGTAGCTATATTATGCTTCTAGTACAAATGGGTCGGCTCGACCGGAGAAAGACCATGCTCTCACAGCATACCAGCTTAAAATAGCAGCTTAATGTTGCTGTTTAGTATGGTAAGTGTAGAGACCTCAGAGTAGGTAAGTGTAGAGAGTTCTCAGGGGTCATAACGCATCTGCATTTTGATTCTTATTCGATGGTAGACGTAGATATAAATAGGCCAAAGCATCTACTTACATTCAGGGGGGCTGTGTGCTCGTTTGTCACCCTTATACTATAAAAAAAACAATGAAAACTTAACCCCCCTTCCCGCAATTGTCTAGTATATTAATTAGTATACAAGCGGGGCGAATTAAAAAAAAATGTACGTCCAACATCAAAGATCTCTACATCGAAGTCTCGGTGGGCACTGGCCGGTGAGGCCGCAAGTGCTTGAACCGTTAGATTTTGTATGCTTATTCATAAGAAAAAAATAATACCAAATTTGCTTAATGTGGTCTCAACACGACCTAAAAGATATTAGCCTGTACATTTAATTTAAAATTTACAGGGTTTCATTATGGGAACTCTAATAAGATACAAGTACAAGGTACACGTATAAATAGCGATTTAGTGTGATCTTTGTGACTTTTTGTCGAGTCAATTATTGTGATTTGCATTTCTGTCTCAACCCTTGTTGTGTAATTATATTTAGGAAGATTTGTAGATGCTCAAAAAATTAAGTACAATTAATGCAATGGAGAGGCATGCTTCTAGCGTTTTAGCTTACAGGATGACGATCATGGTGATGATGATGATGAAAGAAAAGACAAAGTTACAGTTGAGTTCACATCACAGATTGATTTTATATTTTTACCAAAATATGTTAAAAGTAAATTAATGTTTCTACTGTTTATTTTTATTTAAAGAACTAGCTGATACCTGCGACTTCGTCCGAGTTACTTGATATATTAACAAAGTTTTCTTATGTGCGAAGGAAAAAAACATCAAAGAGATCGCAAGCAAAAATATACCTTGTTTACAAAATTTCTTTGTAAATAATGTTATTCGTTGCATGTAATGTTCACTAAACACGTAGTGCTTATAAAAAACGTTGTTTCTTAAAATTTTAATAACTTTATATTAAATGAAATTATCGCAATATTTTTTTAGATAAGACCCTGTGTCTAAGAAATAAAACTTAGAAAACCTAATTGAAATCTATCCAGTAGTTTTTCCGTGATGCGCGCACAACTGCGAATCTCTATCATTTTATTTATATGGATTTGATAACAAACCAGACAAGTGATGATAAGTGGATGCAGTAGCATATAGATACTTACATCTATCCTCAATTAAGAATAATTTAGATGCAATGTCATCCTTAAGGACTAAGATAGAATGCCACGTTACAAGAAAAACGTTTCTCCGTGGTTCTCTACATTCACCACACGAAACACAGCAGCATTAAACTGCATTTCACGTTGGTATACTGTGAGAACCACGCGGTATGTCGTGTACGTAGACCACGTGGTACACAAATGACTTGACCCGGGAAGGAACATGCACTAATAGAACCAAAGTCACGCTTTAGTTGTATTAAAACTGTAGCACAAATTATTTGGTTAGATAAAGAAAGTGCAATGCTCCAATAAAAGAAGGAAAGTAAATAAAAACTAATATATTATTTCTGAGCCGGTTTTGGAGAAGAGAAAATTCACCGCGCTGCCCCAAGTCCCAATATCTTTTGGCAATTTTCACAAATGTCTTTGAAATATTTTTAAAAACTATTTTTCTTTTTATTTCTTAAATCTGGGATCGGGATGAATATGAACGTATAGGTTATATAGACGACAATTCACAATGTTCAAGTCTGTATTTCATTACACGGCGTCTCTTATGAACTATAATGCACTAAAAATGTAAAAATACCGGCGACGGTAAGACCATCAAAGGTGTGAGTCATCTGGTACTACGACCGCTGTTGTACCTGCCAAGGTCCTGATTACGGCAAATGCTTCTTGCAATGTTTGTGACCCTCCGGTGAATTGTTAAGGACTATAGAAGAAGGAGGTAATAAGTCAATGTACATAGATTTTGAGGTTCGACGTATATACGTTGTTAATTCTAAAATTCTCCCCGCTTTAGTTCATTGCGCTTCGACAATGCGGGGAGTGTACGTTTTCATACTTTCATACGCACACATCGTACAACAAGACGGCCTTAGTGAAATTCTGATAATGTCAAGTCAGTCATGAAAGACACCAGAAACGCTTATGTCTTGCATGACTAACAATTATTTGCTGTCATCAAGTTTCGCTCTGAATTTGTCAATTGCTAAAATTATATATATATACTCTCAAAGCTGTGACAATTTCATAAGAATTCTAATAGTGGTAGAGCCACGCGGCAGTTTTTGCTGTCGCACGGATGGGCCGGCTCGAACCGGGGTGGTACCACGACCTCACAGAATACCAGCGTGAAGTAGAGTTTTACCTCTGCGTTTCGCTTGGTGAGTGCAGGTGGCCGGAGGCCCTTTTTACTCGAAATGAGGCATTCCATCTTAGTCCTCACGGGTGACAACGCATCTACATTTGGATTTGTAATAGAGGATAGATGTAGATGTCTATGGGCCGCAGCAACCACTTACCATCAAGTGGACTGTGTGCTCGTTTGTCACCCTTATCCTATAAAAAAAATTAAAAAAAATCGACAATAGTAATACCCTATATGCTCAGAATAGAAGCCTAATGTTAGGAGTTCGTTTAGGTTTAGGTAGAGAAATGTTTTTCTAGTAACGTGGCATTCTATCTTAGTCCTCAAGGATGACATATCAAGGAATACACGAATGTAAATTACCCCTGGGAATAAGGTGATCACCACCATGCTGGCTCTATTAAAATTCATTTAAAAGTTGTACAAATAAACATATTCTAAAGTGAGATATGTTTAAAAAAAGGTCCCGCGAAGTTTCTTGCTGGTTGCTTCCACGGCAGAGGTATTTTCCGAACCAGTGGTAAATAAAAAAATACTTTCAATAAGTATTATGTAATAATCAATATTGAATAAAAATCATTCTATTCTCTTCTATAATATAATAATTATAGGCTGTATATTCTTATAGCTATCACAGGTGACAATGGACATTTGTCTCTATATCCAGCAGTATACAATGTTCATAGCATTGAAAATTAATACTACAGTGGATTTCATTTATTACGATCTTGGTTGTAGCGACCATTTACCTATAGCGACGTTAAATCTAAATCCCTTGAATTTAAAGCATATTTTAGTACAAAATTCATGTGGCTATAGCGACTTTGGATGTAACGCCGAGTTCGGGTGTAGCGACTGTTTTTAATGAATCATTTGTAACAAATTCCTAGAAATCCCATGCAGATATTGCGACAGGAGTCGGTCTCCAACGACACAAAGATTTCTTTCTTTCACAAACATTTCTTATCTTTTGCTTACATCCACACAGATGGTCAGCAAGTGTGGAGACCTTTACCTTTTGTTTATAGATATCAACTAAGTAGGTAGGGAAGTTCCGAGTAAAATTTGTGGTTCAATTACAAAGTGATATTCTGAGTAGCAACTGTAATGTATTGAATTTGTTACCTTAGCCTGTAACGACTTCAGGATATAACGACGATGAAGGGGCCACCCCTTCATCGTCGTTATAACCGAAATCCACTGTATTTTCAAAAATATTATTAACAACTCCGCTGAACAGTTACCTTCCTCAAGGATGGCATAAAGCACGGTCCTAAGCCGCCTACATCCATCGAATACCTCCTATCTTACTTGTTGTTCATTCTATCTTATGGACGACCGCTTTATACTTGATAAAATATCAATCTGAGACGTGGCCGTATGATGAAACTTAAAGCTTAGCAAGCTATCGTGAAGGCTATACTAGAAGTTTTTCGTCGTGATAGAATACGCAATGCAGATACTTGCAATAGAACTAGGGTACCCGATATAGCCTAAGGGGTCAGTGGCCTGAAATGGCTCCGTAACTTGAAAAACTGACAACCGATGAATAAGAAATATTGTCCTTCAGTGCGCCCTTCTAATGCAAAAACATAAATAAGATTTATTAAACTAGATAAATACCCATTCTTTCGATTACTCTATGGTGTCCCCCAAGGTTTTGTATCATGTCTTCTATTATTTATCTTATATAAGTTGAGTATGTATACAAAAGGAATAAATACTTAAATTTTGCATGCATACTCGGGAATAATATATTATTCATGTAAAGTACGGTAACCGTTCCAACCGAATGGCGGACTACGCTCCCCTTTTATAATGAGAGCGGGCATGTGCCCTGCAGCGAAATATAGGTAGGTTGTTATTGTTAAATTATATTACCCTGTTGTCGACCAAATTAACTATTTCCTTTGTATTTGACTAAGAGAATAATAAATTTGTTACAAAACATAACGAACATAAATATCATAATATTTTATATTATTATTAATTAGTATTTTTAAAACGTTACCCCGCACACTAGGATTTTCTCCTGTATCGTGGAGGCAGTTTACAAACATAAATTGACACAAGGACAAACATCCAGACCCAGAACAATTATTTGTAGGCCATACAAATACTTGTTGCGTGCGGGATTCCAAGCCGCGGGCCCCAACGCTGCAATTCATTGCTAAGCCACTGCGCCACGGAGCACTATATATCTATTATGGTTGTAATACGAATGGGTCGACTCGACGGAAGTAGGACCACGCTCTTAATAATACCAGCTTAAAATAGCAGCTTAATGCTGCTGT